TTTTCTCTCTCTCTCTCTTTTACAGAACATTTAAGAAAAACCAGTCACTTCTCGAGTTTTCTGGAAGCTTCCTAACAAATAAAACTGCGCCTGGTAAGAAGCCGTGCACCGTTTGAAAATTTCATTTAATTCTTATCCTATAGCTGTAAAAAGCATTACCATAAGAACTCAACATTGGAAATTAGTTCTGCTTCTTTCTACCGATAATTTAATAACTATTTACGAGTTTAAATTCATCCTTTCGAATTCTCGATACGCTAAGAACTTTGACCCACGCCTCTGCTGCGTTGATGGGTCTTCTATCAACAGGCTTGTGGTGGTGACTGTAAGGCCACCTATATTGACAAAAGCTTACGACAGCTGAAAGTACGTACCTGTGAACATGCGATTGTTTGGAGAAGAACTAGTCAGAAATTATCGTGCTTGTACACAAACCACTCGTATTTTTTAAGGTGTGTGCTCCTCTTACAAGCGAGGAAAGAGTTATTACAAATGTACTTATCAGTATTAGGCCTATTACACTTTGAAACACTACATTATTTTTATCTATTCCCTAAGATTTCCAAGAATTAGACGAGAGTAAAATCTCTAAGTGATTAAGTAAAGTATGTAGTGCTTAAAATTGTAATAAGCCTAAGTCAAATGTACTTATCAGTATTAGGCCTATTACACTTTGAAACACTACATTATTTTTATCTATTCCCTAAGATTTCCAAGAATTAGACGAGAGTAAAATCTCTAAGTGATTAAGTAAAGTATGTAGTGCTTAAAATTGTAATAAGCCTAAGTCAAATGTTTTATGACAAGAATAATTGTGATCACTCAGTTTAGTTAATAATTTCATAATTATATACTGTGTCCTCCAACCGTGCATTACTTAACAAAGAAAGATTACTGATACTGGGTGAACACTAAACTTACTTAGTCTTACAATAAAAACCCAAATTACTTGATTCTTAAAGCCTTAGGGCCGAGCGTTGGTTAGTGTGCTAGAGATCTGCGGTCCAATGTTCGCGTCCCATTACTGCTAATAATAATAATAACTAAAAAGTTGGCGGTGGGTGTTATTGACTAGCTGCCTTCCTTTTAATTTATCAATTCAAAATTAGGGTTGGTCAAAGGAAATAACTGTTGAGTAGCTTTGCGCGAATATCCGAAAATAAACTATAAATTCGTTAAATTACATTTGAGTACTTTATTTTTGAGTTTTATGAAAAAAAAACGTGCTTCAGCGTAATTTGCGTGTCATCTTCAATTTACGTATTTGAACTAATGATAGAATTTATTGATTCAAAAACGTTTGATTAAGAATGCTTACAGCTGTTGCTGTTGTTCTTCCGTTATTAATTAAACGTCGGTTTCCGCCTGGCGAATCTATTGACAAAGAATTCTGTAATTTTTGTTTAATTATTACAAACGTAATATACAGACTATGGCACACAACAGAAATTAACATAACGTTCAAATAATTTCAAACATGGCTAAAAAATTCCAACAACACAGCATTCATTATAAAATAATAACGTTGGATCCCGCGTCACACACAGGATTGTTTATGTTTAGAATAAAGGCAGCTGTAAAATGAAAGGTAACCATCTAGTTCTATGTAAATCTTTTAATTAAAAAATAAAAATCATGGCTCAATCAAGTGTAAAGCTTTAATGAAGTTGGAGTCTTCGTAAGTGTTTCATAGAAGGTTTCAATGAATGCACCTCCTGAAGAAGAAGCATTCACTGAAAAGTAGCAGAAAGTGATCAATTTTAGTTCATTTGAAAATAAAACAAAAACATTTTCACCTGCCAATATAAAATACACTATAAAGCATTCAAAAAAGATCATTTTAACTATTTAAGATAGACGGTAATTTACGCATTAAAAGCCCTCCATCACGGATTATGACGTCACAAGAGAGGCCTCTGTCAGAAGTTACCTAAAATATTAGTATCCAAAGGAATTATCAGACAAATATAGAAGAACAAACTTATCAATTGGCAGAAATAACCCAGCACTCGGGATAGAGATCAGGAACTTTATTAATTGTTGTTGTTAAATCTTCTAGTGGCAGCCAAATAATAAATACAAAAAAAAAAAAAATACGTTTAATATATATATTATAATAATTAGAAAATTAATTGCATCAAGGTTAAAAAACAAGAATTTTTTCATAATTATAATTAGATTGTTTTTTTGTTGTATTTCCTGTATACACTTATGTATAAATTGGCAGCTTGTTTTATTTATCCAACTAATTATAGTTTTCTTAAGCCAATTTCTGTATATCTATTTGGTTAATGTTATTCTTCTAATCTCACTTTTACATCTAAAAACATCAGGATAAATTACCCAGTTTTTTCAAGTCTAGACTTAAAAGGCTTGTAAAAATATCCTGTTTTGATATGAAATATTGTCAACGAACCAAATTTGGCTAGTTAATTTAACACTTAACCTCGACCAACGATATCATCTTGCGTTACAACGGCAAACCCCGTTTGTGCACGTGCTCTATACAGACTGAACACGCTTGTTTATTTTTCTTTTGTTGGCGTTAAGTGCTGAAGCATAACAATAACATTATTCCCATATTAAGTAGCGTTGTTGTAAAATAGTAACAATAATATTCTTTGATTACTGTTCTACTTGTACTTTGGCCAACAATGTTGTACTTTAGGTTTTGTTATAAGGTAGGGTGCCCTTACGAGGATTCTTAGACACATTTTAAATGAAATGAAAAACAAAGTAAAAATCATACGATGAAGGCCATCTCCCCACCCACCCCCCAAAAAAACAACAAAGTTTCGGCTATAGGCCTTATACTGAACAAATAAAACCGTTTTGGTTTTTTCTTTATATGTGCAAATATATGCAAAGTCTGCCAGTTTTGAACTACAGCTTGCAGTTATAGATAATTATACAGGCCTGCGAATTTGAACTTCATAAAAGTTGTTTAGGTTTTAATAACGGATTTTCCATAATTCAGGAAAAAGACTTTACTTTGATTAAATTATTATTTCGTTTATCACAATGAACATATTTATAATTATGATGTTTGTTAACAAAAATACAAACAAACTGAAGAAAAGGGAAGAACACCGATGTCAAACGAATCTGCATCCTCATTCATCCTGATTTTTGTGTGTGAAATCCACGTATTTTAGTCTCAAACTACGTGTTCTGGTCTTTGATGTATTGCGTTATGACGTTTTGTGAAAAATCTGTACGTAATGGAGAAAAATTATCATTTTCGGAGTCTGCGTACAGAAATTACTGTAGAACATGTAAAAATTTCAAGACAATAAAACCATCGCAGGCCTGTGTTACTTTTTCATAACATTATATTTAGCAAAGCATTTCAATTGTAGAGTTGTACTTGATAAAGATCGCACTAGTGATTTGAAAGACGATGTAGCTAAATCTAAGTTATTTTAATGAATTTCCAAAAAAAATCACAGTATGTTATCGTCGTTCAAAGTGAATATTTAATATCCAGTAAGGGTAACTTAAACTTGTTTAATATTTTATTTTGCTCTCTTACCGGTATGTAATTGGTAACTGCTGTCTCCCGGGTAGTCCCAATAGGTCAGCGGTAAGTTCACGGACTTACAACACTTAAATCTGGCGTTCGATTCTCCACATTGGACAGAGCGCAGGGAGTCAATTGTGGTTTCGCGTCGAAACAAAAACAAACGGTAACTGTCTGATGTAGATCTGTGACTTAAGATTATGGCGCTCGTTTCACCCTTTCAGCCGCAGGGGCGTTATGATGTTACCCTTAAACCCACTATTCGTTGGTAAAAGAGTAGCCCAAGAGTTGGCGGTGGGTGATATTGAATGGCTGCTTTCCATTTAACTATCACTGCTAAATTAAGGACGGCTAGCGCAGATAGTCCTCGTGTAGCTTAACGCGCAATTCAAAACGAACAAGTATATATATGTATTACATATGTAGAGCATAATTAACATAAACATTAATAATCTTGCTCTCAATGTTTTCTGTGCGACAAATTTAGAACGGAAGCTTCGAATAACTACGTTAGACTGTAGAAGTAGGCCTGTCAATATTATCAACAAGTAACTGGATAAACATCGTCGATAACCTGTGCTAGAGATCCCTTGTAAATACAGTGAGATATTGTCTCTCTCTTTAGGCCTAGCTGAAATCGTGATTGTTTTGAAATATCAGTTTTAATAGCCAACTGAGGGTAGCTCAATAGTTTAATACCCAGTCATCAGTCTATTACGAACGGTAAATAAATGAATAAAAAATCACCAGATGGTGGCGCTCTTCTCTGTCATAACTGGCTTTAACGCGTTATTTAACATTTTGACAAATGGAACCGTCATACCAGCATGCACCTTTTTCAAAGTGTCCTGGCATTGGATTAGAGCTGGGCTTTGTTGTTAGGATTACGATACTTAAGCTACAGCATTTGAATTTGTAGAGCAGAAAGGTTTGAATTCCTTCTAAGTAACTGTCAATATTTAATACGGTCAGTAGGAAAGATCGAATAACAGAAGTTTTGTATGAGTACCAAACGTCCCGAATCGCTTTCTGTAAGGTAACGTATAACATAAATTACTGATGTATTGACAAAGACTGCTAAAATGGTATTTATTCTGTTGAATGGTGTCTGTGTGTGTATAACAGACGAGACCATACGTGTCACACGAAGGGGTAAGTTCTGCCATGCAGGAAAGACAGCCGAAATAGTACAAGTTTCTCAGATTAGTGTTTGAAGAAATCAACATAGTTAAATTACTAGTGAGTTATTATTAGCATAAAATACTTTTCCTTTCAAAATGCAATCTACGGTCTTATTATAAAGTCATACACTAGTCCAATTAGGGTCAGCTATATCTATGATGGAAATAGTGAACAACTTTAAAAAATCAAACAAGAAAGTAATAAAAATTAAAGGTGGGTCAGCAACGCACGACTTTGAAAATGGGAGAACAAAAACGTACATGATAAAATGTTACATAGAGAATGTAAACAACCGCTGTCTCACGCAAACTTTTATTTTTAACCGTATAATACAATTTTCAGATTAAAGCTTATAGACACTAATGACAAAATGATGTATTTTATTGTACCTGCCAAAAAATTAAAGAATTAAACGTAAAACGAAAAGAAAAAACTATGTCCAAGGTACCATACGCTAAACTTTATCGATTGAGATGTATTAGTAACAGCAGAAAGGTGGCGCTGAGGACTTAAAGCTAAAATGATTTGAGGAAACCAGAAATACTGGACTCGTGTGAAACGTTAAACAGAGAATATAAAGTGATTTCAATGAACGATGTTTAATAATTATATTAATACCAATAGAAAAAAATTAAAATATAGTTAAACAATTGAATTAAAATAAAATACTGTAAGTAGATAAGTTGGCAACAATGCCAGTCTCTGATTGGTTCACTCGAGATCACTGGTTTGGATGCGACGCCTTTTGATTGTGATGTTTTTGTTATATGAATATTATATTTAGTCAAAGAGGTTCATAATAACAGTAAAACGTAGGAACAAAGATAAAAAATTTGGGTTAACATAGCGTGGCAATATGGTAGTTTCATTAGGCTTACTAGTACTACAGGGACGTGGTACTAGGATGAACGAGGGCCAATTTACGGGTATTTCACTCAAAAAGATTGGGATCAATTGAGCAGGAGTTTATAGGTAAAGAATAGTTGATGATGTATGTTTCATAAAAGATGTATTTTACGTCCTCGTAAAAAACACTGAGGCAGAAAATGATAAAAAGAACTGTGTGTAAAGAATTGTGCTTTACTTATCTTGGCAGTAATGGCAAATAATGAGCATATTTACTAACAGAGACGAGGTAATGGGCAACAGAAGCTAAAAAGATGATAATCAGGCTTAGTTTCAATATTGTTTACATCAAATTTGTATCTGTGCTGTTACTTTAAAATAAAAATTATTGAAAGCTTAAAAATACGTTTGTTACAAAATATATGGTTTCCTATTCTTTTCAACGCATATTTAAACAATATTACAATGATTCAAGAGAGGGATATATATTTTATAAAGCATTCAAGAATATTCTAACTTGATGTGAAACTGCACACACAAACAACAACAAAAATATAGATGTCTCTGTACTCTTCGTGCTTCTGGTGATGGAGCTAAACTTCTATATTTTCATATTAGGTCATGCGCTGTCCACTTTAGGCAATCCATTTATCAAATTCTAGAAAAAAGTAATATATTATAAGTAAGGAAATACTAAACATATTAGTAATGATAAATAATTTGTTTTGTTGTTGTTTTTTTTACCCTAAAATCGGGAATCGATCACACAGAAATTAATGGCTGTTCTGGTAATCACAATAATCAGCAAACAATAAAAAAGCACTACAACATAACGATGATTCTGTATTAGAGCTCATCGGTTCACCCTTTGCAGAGAAATCTCACTTAAAAATTAGTTCTCTTCCCCCCGGTTTGTTTCAAGATTTTGGTGTAAAAGTCCTTTGCCTTTTGTAAAATAATTTACGTGTAGAAGATTTGTTTTCATGCTAAACTAGTCAACACACACACTAGGAGAATGTTCAAAAGTCGTGTTTGTCCTAGTCTCAGTTGAAAGTGAAAGATGCGATCTTTGCATGAAATGTTGGGGATGCAGCCACGATGGGGTTGCTGTTGAAGTTAAAGCGATCAGGAAAAAAGATTATCCAAAATACGTTATAATCCAATCAAAAGAGGACAAAGAACGATGTAGAAGGAATGGTACGAATAAGATACTTCGTTCTTGTGAACGTAACTACTTTCATTGTCTTATTAGGTCATTCAGTGAATGACAGGTTTAGATATGATTGATGAGACCTCAACCAACTAAAAACCACAAGATACAGCTGAATAACATTTATTGTTGTTTCTATAAAGTCTACAGTGTGTTCCAGATGGCACGAACGTGTTGAAAACCATTCTTAAACTGCAAATCAAAATGGAATGGCTCTAAGTAGCCTTCTTTTGGAAAGGCTTTATTCATCAACACCAAAACATGTTAGAAGTTTTATTGCGTTTTTCGAAGCAAGAGTTCGAACCCCACACTTATGCAAAGCTTTATATAAGTGCTTGTTCAAAGTTGCCATTTAAACTTGGCAATTTCTATATGATCGACTCTCGGTTTCAGGGTTAAAAAAATATATTTTCAATCACAAAGTTTTCTTTTGCCTAGATAACAGCAATTTTTGTTTCATTACTATAAAAAAGTGAAAATATACCCGACCATTCTTATATTCTTCCAGTTTGCTCCTTACCTGCTTCTCCGGAATGTAAAATAACTTCAATATTAATAATCGCATCATTTACTAGGCTAGAAATAAAATTCCTGATCCATTTACAATTAATTTGGTTATAGAATTCTTTGTTTGACATTTCATAAGGAAAGCACATGAAATCCCATATCCACTTCTCTCTCTCTCTCTAGGTCGGAGAAGTGGATCCCTAGGATGTATTTTATTTATTAAAAAAAATAGACAACTGTATCCTGAAGACACTAAAGACAAACTTCTACGTTGTCAAGCTGACATTCAAAACATGATGACCAGTACTTAGGATTATCTAAATGCTTCAGGAGCACATTGATGTCAATAAAACTGACAATTTAAATAATAATAACAGTTTTGAGAATTCAACACCAGGACCCAGAAGAATTATTATAATTAAATTGGTAGATAAAGTTATAATGACGTATTGGGGATGATGGGGATTCGAAGAAAAGTTAACTCGTATGGGTGTAATCCTGTTTCAATATATATATATTTCTTGCCTTTCTTTTAATTCTGTTGTTATATTAGCACAAAACTATACAAAGTGGACTATCTTGGTTCTATCTACCGCGGAGAATCGAACCCAGATTGTTAGCATTGTAAACTTCTCGCTATCCAACCGGATGATTCCTTTTTGGATAATAAAAAATATGTTTGCTTTAGATGAAAATCACGTATATTACGATTAATTCTTTTTCCTTGCACGTCTTCAACTTTGTGTATTTATGACCAATGTACAAGTCACCTGGGGGCGACCCCGAAGAAGATTAAAGGATTTCTAAACACGTAAACCGTTTTAACTTTATTGTTATAGCAACTTGAAACAGTTTTTTTTGGAATACAGAGTTCAAGTCTACCAAAAGCAATAAAGTATGTCTTATTTTTGCGCTCTTAAGTTTCGCATCGCAAGCAAATTCCTCACGAAAATGTCCATCTAATGCATTTCGTAATACTCAATTTATTTGAATTAATGCTAAGTAGTGAACCTTAATACTATAGATACTAAGCTGAGAAAGGTGTCGATTCACATAAAGTAACCCACTGGGTAACAACCAGTTCGGCTAGGTCGATTACCCACAGTTACCGGGCAGCGTAGGGGGACTGAACTGAGTAATAATATTTTTCACGTGGTCTCTATTACCTCTCATTACGAAATAATTAAAAAACGTGAGACTCTAGTAAGTAAAAAGTGTCAAACATCCTGTTTTAACCCTTGAATTACCGACCCCACTAGCTTTTTAAACACGCTTTTATAAACAATTTATGCTCCAAATTGCTTGTGGGTCCATCTATATCTTTGATGTTTACCGGCACTAATCATTTCTCGAGTACCCTGTGTATGTTACTTATAGAAAATGAGCGATTTCATCAAATATTTCGGGGTCGATTCGTTACCGTGAGTGTTATATAACACATAAACTCGACTAATATAATGCAACATGTAGACCCTACCGGTAGTGAACGATACAGAAACAAGTCGGTATCGTTAGTTTTAGGCTTAACGAAGAAGTTCAAGGTGAGTCTCTAACTAAGAACTACGTATCAAGTTCAATGGCACTAAATCCTTTTAATATCAGAGGAGTTTTTCGCCTTTTTATTTTATTGCCTAGATTCTTGAATTGAAGAAGAGAACCCTAAACACAAGCCTTTTGGGAAGAAGGAAGGCCCATCTTTCCATAAGCGCCCGGGTTTAGGGTTTTCTATTTTTCATTTCTTTACTTTTTGTGATTCTATGTGCTTTTTGATAGCTATAATGGCTCCAAACGACATAGAAATAAAAATGTGGAGGAGAAAATAAAGATTAGCGATTGAGTGAGAAAAAAAAAACTCCCGCTATGAGTGTGTAAACATCTATTATAATAATATTCAGCCTTTGCCCGTCCTGAAAATGCGCGCGCATCGTACTATTTAAATGCGCATATGGGCGTACTTTATTTCAACGGAAATAAAAAGGCGGATGTAAATATTGTTTAGTAGACATTTTGTACAACAAAATATTTAAAAGCTTAAAGTTTTTAAAAAGGTCTAACATTAGGTAGTTGAATAACATTACAAGTTTATTTATTGATAGTATTAAGTACGTTAAAGTTTACCCCTAACCAAACTAATGCAAAAAACGTACACAAGTTAGTGTTAATTTATCTCTTTATCGAATATAGGCCGTGCTTAATAAAGGCTTAACTAATGTTAGGCCTAAGCCAAGCGGACTTGTATTTAGATATCTGCGATTAGAATTATTTTGTATTATTATAGAAATATTGTACTGAAAGAAGCACTGTTGCAATGAAGACGCTAGTTTGACCCCAAATGTTTTGCGGACCTCTACAAGTTTTATTTTATTTTAAGATTTCAGAAACTAGGCTCCTCCGTTGATGTACATATATTATTCTTTCTGTAGTCAACAAGGACGTTCGGGTCTTATGTTACTAGGGTTACGACTTTTTTGAGAAGACAAGCGTATGACACAACATAATTTACGATCTTGATTTGTACGCAACTTCCAGACACATTAGCATTTCAAGAAAGTAAAATTATGCACAGCACAAGAAAATGCGCGATTTTATGGCTGTGTAGAAGATGTATTCTCAAACTGAACTTACGTTTATATTTTTTTTAAGGGGGGGGGGAACTAAGCGCCTAATTAAATGTTCTTCTTACATCCGGAAACCAAGGTTATCTCTTAGCGACAGTAGCGTACTTAACAGAACAACCCGGCAAGTGTGTGTCATTTTTGGGAGGATTAAAATAGTTTGCAATGTTCCACCGACCGACAATTTAAGCATAGAAGGGATTATAAGCACTTTTCTGCGCTGCTTTCTGAATATTTAATGGGTAGTGATAAGTTATACAGAGCTACTATTAGGTAAAACGGAGTAACTACTAGGCTTTGGTAAGAAGTTATGACAATGAGAGGTAAAGCAGTGTCGAATATCTTTCTGAAGCGGTATTCAGATAATTGTAGGTATTTCAGCTTCCACCACTTACAGGTAGGTGAAATAGAATACATAGTATTCACAGAAAGGCAGAATTGTAGTAACTGCTACTTACTCAGGCAGCACGTACTAGTTTTTGAGGTTTTACAAATTAAAATGTATTTATTGTGTGTCTATATATTTTGTGGATAATCAGTCCATGAAAAAATGAAGAAAAGTAAGTGTTCCTGGAGTGATCTTGATCCTATGATGCATGTTTTGACAAAGATACATTTTGTCCAAATCTCACGTCTGTTTTAAATCCTATAAAAAAAACCGCGAAAGCGGTAAAAGATACATGAGCAGATACCATACCGTTTCACACGATTTTTTTTTCTTATTTATTTTAGCTACTTTGAAATAAACATGATTATTTCATATGTGGTTAAACCCCTTGTAACGAGAAAAAAATTTAAGAAAATAGAAAACTATCATAGTCTAGTAGAATCCAGTTGTTGCAAAACCACGCTCCGCAATTTAGGGCCGCAGGTGTTAAAAGAGTGACAGTTAAATCCCACCATATTGCCGGTGTCGTTCCTACGGCGCTGTTCAGACGTGAACAAATTTTACCGATGCTTACAGCGAACAGTTGCAAGTCCTTGTACGTCAAGTATGTAGAACTGTTGATTAAGAGCTCATACTGTCATATCAACATATATTTAGTTTTGTTTAAAGATTCTTTAATTTTGTTGTATTGGTGATAATTTGTATATTCTACAGTTGTCTTGTCCCACGTACTGTCCTTAAGCTTAAGATAGGTTTACTGATTAAAAGGTGATTATTGTGTATGTGTCACATACAATACTCTCAGGAATTAAAAGTCTAACATGAGAGAGAGAGAAGAAAAAAAAAAGAAAATCTGATTTTGTTGTAATAACCTGAATGAATAGAAACCATAGTTGGCAAACCATGCATTAACGACATTTCTCTGTTATATCTTTAATAATTACTTCATAGATATTATGACGACACAACTACCAGACGCCCTTGTAAGTGTTCCTGGAGTGATCTTCAGATACACGTTTTGACAAAGATACATTTTTCCAAATTTCACATCTGTTTTAAATCACCATCTAGTTTTAATTGAGTTAATCGCTGTTAAATTGCCAACATTATCTAAAGCTTTTGTAAGTATGAACGTGAAGCACATGAAAAGAATAACTTACGATTAACTACAGAAAAACGAACAGTGGTTACTGCTTTACATATTGAAAAGCCAGTTATATATGGGCATAAAATGGCGTGCTGGTTAGGGTTTGCACTCTGCGAGTTGCGGGTTCCAATTCCGTTACCGAACATGCTCGCCCTTTCAACCGTGGGGGCGTTATAATGTACGGTCAATCCCACGTTTAGTTGTTAAAGAGTAGCCCAAGAGTTGGCGGTGGGTGGTGTTGACTAGCTGCCTTCCCCCTAGTCTATAACATCTAAATTAGGGACGAAATTCACGAAAACAAACAATCAACAGTGTATTGATCAAATTATATTGCGGTTCTCTGCAACTAAGTTTGAAGTCTACTTACTGTGATGTAGGAACCTCGAAGAAAAACATCCTGATGAAAAATGATGCCACCATGAATATCGACCTGCAAAATTCTCAGTAAAACACAAACTGAAATGAAGGATATATTCAAGGAGTTTGAATAGCTACAGAACTGGTGAAAGGTGATTACGAATAAGTTGATCGTTTACAATGGCAAAGGTGGAACCAGAAACCAAATGTTTAGCTTGGTCAAGTTCATAAATAATTGTATGAACGAACTGGACAAGGTAATATGGGCTAACGATGCTAAAGACTGAGCTTTAATGGAAATCATGTTTGTTTGTTTGTTTGTTTTGGAATTTCGCGCAAAGCTACACGAGGGCTATCTGCGCTAGCCGTCCCTAATTTAGCAGTGTAAGACTAGAGGG